TCTTCTTTTTATAGTGTAGAGTCTAGGTTGTAGGGTTTTAGGTTAAGGGTTATGAGCCTAGGAATTATGGGCTTGACAATTGTGGGCTAGGTCCAAAATTAGGCCTAACGATGGGTTGCTCGAGCCCAAGCTCTATTCTTTTGCCGCGAATGAGATTAAAAATACGCGCCCATTTATTAATTAGTCCTACTATTAAAATAATTTATTAAAACAAAACTAACCATTAAAACAAATCTATTTTTTTGTATTTTCAAACATTATATTAAAAATAAAAATACGATACTATTTTTATATTTTCTTTTGGATTAAAAATGACTACCAATATTAATGAACTTATTATTATATTATTATATATATATTTTTTGTTGTAGTTTTTGTTTTCTTGTACTAAAATAAAGTGAAAGAGTCAAAATTACTTAAAATATCTATATTATGCCTAAATTAAATATTTTACGCTAATATATAAAAGATCTTGGGGAGGGTCAAAAATCACATGTCTACAGACCTCGAGCAGTGGCGACCTCGAGGTAGGTAGATAAGAACAATAAAATAATAACGCAAATCAGATGAACATTAAGCAAGAAAGTAAAATATGTATATTCTCTTCTCAATGATTGATGCGTTACAAATGATTGGGGTCCCCTTTATATAGTAGGGGAATCCTAAATAAAGTACAATTTTAATTATAGTAGTGAATCTTATTACACAACTGTCTAACCGCCTAGTACAAATCCGTTCCGGAATTTACGCCGTGATCTTAGGGCCACCGCGAGAATCTCACTCTTTCTGTTATAAAACCATAACGGTATTATCTCGAGGTTGGTCATACTCGGCCCGATGTTCATCGAGCACTTCGATCTTCGAGTTTCGTATTCTGCCATCGGGCTCGAGCCCGATCCAAATTGAACTTGTTCTCGACGCAACCCCTCGAGCCTACAAAATCGGGGACACATGATTTTGACCATATACACAGTCGACCCCAACTAGTTTAGCATTGCATGTAGCTGATTGTTACTAGGTGCGATTGTTACTTTTGCGGGTATTTTGTTTGGATTATGCTATTTTGCTATGCAATCTTGTTGTTTTTTTTATGAAGTTGGCTGCACGAAAAGAAAAAAGAGGGGGTGCTCTTGAAAGAAGAATTTTGCTGTGTTTTCAGCATAGTTTTATAGATCTAGTCTAATATGAAAAAACAGTAGAGGAAAGTATCTGTAGGTGATCATTTATTAACCTTGTTCTAGCTTGCTCTTGCAGTTATGCCTTTCTTTATAGCATCTATAGATGGCCGTTTTTGCTGTGGGCTCACTCCTCAATAGTAGCATCGGCTCGCAAATTGCAGACCTTGCAGTCCCATTAGACCACAAAACAACCGTATCCTAGGTCTCTTGGCACTGCATTATGCCTATGGTGAAGCCCGCTTCATCTTAGTCTTGCCCTAATGGCTCGGAAACTTACTTTCAGTTGTGCTTCTCGTTTCATGCCACTGCTTCAAACTTGACTAGTTAAATATTCTTGATGCGCATCTCATATGTTGGTCTCGATATGTGCGCACCTGGATATGCGCACATAGTCCAATCCTCAAGCTTGGCACTAGCCTTGTGCCTGTCATAGCGTGCGCGGATGATGCCTTGCCAGAGTAGGGTAACTGTTGAAGTCTTTGGCTGGCGTATAGTGCATCCGTCAAATATTGCCAAACATTGTCCTCGCAACATACTATTGTCCCGCATAGCGCAGCGCCGTCTCACAGCTGTATGTTTAGGCCAATCGACCCCTGCTTGTAATGTCAAATCTAAGCCATGATCACAAAGTCAATGCACGAGACTCTAGGTGTGGTGCCTCAAGACTCAGGTGTTTAACATTTCCAAAAGTAGCTTGCAAAGGCATACCTTTTGCGTATATCAAGCCTCTGACAATTTTATGCGTCCAACGCTAGCACTGAGGCTATGAACCACTAGTAAAATTTGCCAACTCATACGGAGACCTTAGATACTCATCCGAGTAGTCTAGGTTAACCCTTGAGGGTGTCCCTAAAGGCTGCTCGCTTGGGTGCAGTTTGCTGTCAGCATGCACGGGAAGGCTGGTAAAAGTTCCACATTGATCCTTGAAATTACTTAGTAGAAGTTGATATCATCCTCTAATGACAGTACTAGAAGTTGATATCTTCCTCTCTTACTTATATTTATGCAAAACTAGTCTCCTGCAACTATTAGGCTAATAAAGGGAAAATTACTGATTCAGCATGAGTTGGCAATCAAATTGCTGTATCCACTTGAAGAAAAACTCCTGAATATTATTATTTCTCAAGTTTTTATTTTTTACTTCTGTTTAAATTGCATGTTAAAAAATGTGGGGTTTTAATGGTGTATTTGATGATTTCGATGTATAGAATAACATTCTTTCTCTGTCTCTCCCTCCCCCTCTCTCTCCCCCTCCTTGGGTTTTTTGGGGTTAATTTTTTTTTCAATGGTTGATATTAATTTTATAAACTTCTTCATTCTTTAAACTGCGCAACACCATTCCTGTGAACGAGGCTTGTTGGAAGCGAGGTAGAATCGCACTGACAATCAATTAACTCGGTGATCTTGTCATTAATTGTGTGTTTTTTTTTACGGCAGTTTAAACCAGAAGAAATAACAGCCATAATGAATGACTTTGCGGAACCTGGAACACTTGCTCCAACTGGTTTACATCTAGGGGGAACAAAGTATATGGTGATTCAAGGAGAGGCAGGAGCTGTTATACGAGGCAAAAAGGTACGTGACCTTGGGTTTCCTACTATTGCGTTGCGTATAGTCACCTTGTTGAGTATATATGAGTATCATTATCTAAAGCAGGCAGGAAAGTGTAATCAACTCTCACTTACACCTCTTGAGATGCTTAAACAAATTTCTGCATCTTCTTATCTTTAGCCATTTGCGCTACTTGAGCTACCTAAGAATTTCCCACGTGGAACGCTTGACTTTGATGCTTGTTTAATTCCTTGGTGAGTCCAGACTCTTACATGCAAGTTTCTTGGGTACAAAACTCTTTTTTTTTTTTTGCATTTTTTATTATTGCCTCTCGCCATAAAATGATTCATTCTTTTCAACTTTCTTCTACGAAGACCAATTCAAATAAAGACTGTTGAATATCGTCATGTCATCTAAAAGTTAAAGCTACTAGAGATAGTACACTTTTATTTACTTAATTATGTCTCAACACGCCTCCTTATTGGGCCTGATTCTTTGTTCATAGCCAAGCACGTGGAAATTCTCCTTGACAATGAGTGACAATGAGATTTGAACTCAGGACCTCGCTCGAATACCATGTTGGAATTGTGTGACCATTTCATCTAAAATTTTGAACAGTTAGATAGTTCACTTAATTATTTCTCAACAAAGACCATTGTAATGGTGTGGATCTTCCGTGCTGGCATTTTCCCTGTTGTAATACATGAATGTAGATTGCACAATGCTTCACACAAGAAACTTTGAAATTTACATCAGATTAGAAGTCCCCTTATAACTTTTGGCTTTCTATAATTTGTCATCCTGACTTTATCCTCAGGGTCCTGGTGGTATCACCGTTAAGAAGACCAACCAGGCTTTGATCATTGGAATATATAACGAGCCGATGACTCCTGGACAGTGCAATATGATTGTCGAAAGGCTGGGTGACTATCTCATTGAGCAAGGTCTCTAGGCATACTAGTAGGTTGATCTCTAACCTCCTTTTCCCCTTGGTATCTTTTTCCTTTTCTTTTTTCTTGTTTCAGCATGACTACTTTGTTTATACAGTCAAACCTCTCTATAATAACCTCGTTTGTTGCGATATTTTCTGGCTGTTACAGTGAAGTTAGAGAATATATATTATAACATAACATGAAAAATGGTTCCAAAAAAAGCCTTGGTTGTTATAATGAAGTGTTGTTATAAAGGATGTGCGTTATAGAGATGTCTGACTGTACCTCTTTCACAAGTCCACCCCTTTGCTCTATTTCTTTCGGCGTTTTATCAACTTATACTTTGCTAAATCCTTTTGCAGTGTATTGATATCCTACATAATTGAGGCCGTCAAGAAATCTTGTGTGTTCTACAGGGAGAGTTTGATCTCTTATGTGTATCAGCTATGCTGTCATTGTAACTTTTTTCTTTGCGTTTCGTCGTGAACTTTTGTCATTGACCTATTGGTTGATTATATATAATGGAATGGCTTATACTTGAATATTTGAGCTTTGGTTAGATTGAAATCTTTTATTTTGGCTTTAAAAAGATCCACATTTTTGGTATGTGTAATCTACAGAAAATGAAGTAAAGGTTCCGGCAAAGATTTAGTTGGTGTTTGGTTTTGACAATAGGATATGAACTCTACAATGTTATATTTGTGTGGAGGCAACTTATACTTCCTGAAGGGTAAAAAGAAGCTTTTGGCAAAAGAACAACTTATCTCAAGTTGAATAATTGCATAAAAAAACTTTCAAAGTTGAACAAAACCAAAACCAAAACAAAACATACAAAAGAAAAAGGGGAGGAAGACTCGTATGATAAACGAGAAAGGTGATTTCTTCCCATATGTCCAATCACCTTGGTGGATAGAGTTATTCGGTAGCTGTGTTGACGGGAGGTTACAGCTTGCAGGTATTCTGTGGAATTAGTTAAGGTACGCGCAAGCTGACCCTGACACCATAATTATCAAAAAGAAGGAAGAAAAAAAAGAGGAAGGTGATTGAAGTATAAATTATATATAGAAATACATGATACTTTAATTTTTTTTTATATAGCTTTTTGGCTATATAAATTCTTTTCAGTGGGCATAATATATGTATGGGAGAAGTTAAGCATGGCTAAAGTAGACATATTTAAGTGAGTTAGCAAACATCAATTGACCAATCAACTCTACCCCCATCTCAAATTCGGTAAATACTAGATTAAAATATAAAAATAAAAACAAAAGTAAAACGTAATGAGCTTAGGAGGGGATTGGATTGAGTTTTTATATGTATAGGCCAAGTGGGAAAATGTAAGTTATGTCTTCGTTAATGGGATCTGCATTAATACATTACATCACCCTACTTAAGTTGAATTAGTTCAATCATTAACGGAAGTGTTAGAACATGCGCAGCGGAAGCAAGCATAAATACAGATATCACCTATATGTAAACTAGACAATGATTTAATTACAGAGATTAGAAGCACTAACCTCTCGGAACTGTTGCACAAATCGTTCACCGGGCAAGAATCCAGGAAGCTCTAACCTCTCGAAACTGTTGCACAAATCGTTCACCGAGCAAGAATCCAGGATTGTAGTCTTCTGCTATGCTCCTAATAAGCATTGGACGAAAATATTTGTGTGGGCAAATGTTGCTACTCTGAAGAGTAAGTTATTAGGTGAAATTAGTCTTGTATTTATAGTGGCCGAAATTGAGCAAAAACTAGTCCAAAAAATCTTGTAGGATTTTACTAGTCTAACTCAAATAGAGAACTTTTCTTTCTACCCAAGAATGTCAAGGTTTTACTAGGTACAACAAGTAACACAGAAATAATAAGAGACTGCTAATTATAATATTAATTTGAAATTTTTGGATGAATTAAATCCTACTATAGTTAATCATAGTTTATTCCACTAAAAAACTACAATTGAACCCTCAAAATGAATTTCGAAATTCACCAACATATACTTATTTTAACTCCCATATTAAGATTATAAATACCAGTTAATTAAACTAGATCATTGATAATTTAATTTAATCAACTAAATAAATCCTTTATAATTCCAGTTATTTTATTTCATGATGGATACAAAATTCACTGGCTGAAATTTTACATGAAAACTTATAAGCTTACATAAAGGGGTATTATCAAACTTAAGGTCGAGTTATGGATTATGTCAATTACTCTCCCTGTTTCATATTAAATGAGGTATTTTCCTTTTTAGTATGTTTCAAAATAAATGACACATTTTTAAATTTAGAAATAATTCAACTTTAAACTCTTTCATTTTACCCATTTACCCTTAATGAGAAGCTTTTATAGCCACACAAATATTATGGCCCCACAAACTTTTTATCCCTTAAGCTTTTAAGATCACATGTTTCAAAAGTCTTCTTCTTTTTTCTTAAACTCTGTGCCAAGTTACACTAACTCATATAATATGAAACGGAGGGAGTAATTAATATTTCACAATTGCTATTCGTTATTGTCCAATCTATTAGGCATACACCAACTCTGTACCTTTAGATAAATCAAAACAATAAACAAATAACATTGATCATAATAACTATATCAAGATTAGGAGTATAAGCTCATTTAATACATAGGAGAAAATATTTTATATATTTAGTACAAAAATATTTTTTCTCTACTTGGTCCGTTCAGTATATACTAAGTATACTAGCACAAGAAATTGGAGTAAAATTGTAACACCCAAATTTTTTTTTATAATATTTGCATTCTTGATTGAGCATTTTATAACGAGGAAATATTTTACTTTGCACTTCCTAAATGTGAAATGGTCAATATATGAAAATTTCTTACTTTAGGTTGTGTTAATATTAGCAATGAAGTTCCATGATGTTGCTATATGTAACACTTAATATTATTTTGACTAGTTGTTATTAAATATAATATATAATTAAGTTTTTGGGTTTCCAACCTTTTGTATTTATCTAAGAATATTTAGCAGTTGGGTAACCATTTTATTTCATATCTATCCATAAACTCCCGATTTTTTCTACTCTTCAAGACAAAGAAGAATAGTTATACATCTTTCTCTCTCTCTCTCTCTCTCTCTCTCTCTCTCTCTCTCTCTCTCTCCTCCGTAGAAACTAGAATCTGAAGTTTCATGAAAAAAAAAACCCATGGATTTCTACTAAATCAACAAGCAAATTTCGTTTTTGGTGAAGATCAAGTTGCTCCTCTTGGTAAGTTTCTAAACTCGTTTTTATACTAGACACCTACTAGTATTTTCTACATATCTTTTTGTACAGAGCTCCGATTTAAGTGATCCAGGACATTCTGGAAAGTTATTTCATAAATCTATAACTCTTATGAACCAAAATCTAGTTTTGTTGGTATTTACCTGAAAAGGGATCAGAAAGTACAGGGCAGGTGCTGTCCAGATTTCCAGTTTTAGAAATATTTCATGTACTGTTGTTAGTAATTTAAGCATAACCTTTTGTTCAAAATTGATATGGAGGTTATTCAAGATGTTCTGAAACGGTAAGACATAGATCTACAACTTTTGTGAAGACCGGAAAGTCTAGTTTGTCCGTATAGATCTTCAAAATTGAGTCACAACTTGGAACAGTGATACTGTCCAAAATTTCTGTTTCAAACGTTTTTGGGTAATTTTCACCAATATCATGTTTAGTTTGACTTGCTAAATCACTGAAATTATTTAGATATTTGATTATGTATTTAAGGTATATAAACCCTTGAAAAAAATCAAAGGGGAAGTGTTTGAGGAAGTGGACAGATTTGGTTTGTTTACGGCATAGACGATTCGAACGTCCCCAAGTTGTGATTGAACTGTTTCGTGGTAAAACACCAAGGTTTGTGTATAAACTTGTACTCTTTTTGCTTGCTGGAATATGTTGAAATAACTTGATATTTTATTTTTCTTGGCTTCAATTTATATTGTTATATTCGTATTATATCAAGTATTGTAAGATATTTGCTAAATC